AATATCAGAAGTATACAAAATTCCTAACATGCCATCCATATTATCCTTTCTTGTTACAGTGCAGACAGTCTACAGCTGCTGATATTCCAGTTGTTGACAAAGATCGGTTTGTCTTGATTTAGTTTTATTATTAGCCTCTCACAATTAGAGACTTTAGGGTCATTTGAATAAATTTGTTAAATTCCGATACGGTTCTGGATTTTGTTCTCGGAGATCTCAGGTCTCAGATCATTCTCCCAAAACTTGTCTTTTTGTACGCTTACATACCATCCATCCTCAATGAAGGATGTCCACGCAGACAATATGTGTGCTAGGGACCCTATATAGTATCCCAGCAGTGTAGAAGCCCTTCACACCCTGTGAAAGTTGACACGATACAGTAACAAAAAGTGAAAAACAGCAGCAGAAACAGGAACAGATGTAAGTTTTCTGCTTCCCATGTTGAATCACAACAGCAAAATTACTTTAGGATTTTCAGTCCACCTGAGCAACTCATTGCTTGAACTTGTGCACTGTAATAGGAACTTCACCACTGAAAAGTTGTTAATTATTTTTTTACATGTAATAGCAACCCCAAACGCAACATCAAATTAATTTGTCATTGTGTATCTGTCTCCGTCACACAAAGCCGATCAATCTGTTTTCACTCTGCCTCCCATAAATTATAATAGTCAGGACATTACAGGTATTTTAACTCTGTTCTGGAGCATCAAAGTATTTCAACTGATTTCTAACAATTGAATGATAAGCACCAATGAACTCTTATATTCCATGTTTTTATAAAATTTACTTATTAATAATTAAATCTATACAGCAGGCACCTAAGCCATTAATTACCTTATCATCCTATGAAATACAATATGTGAACAAAATTCTGAATAAGCAAAACCATAACTTTATTACTGAGCTGTTCTTCTAATAAGAAATTATGATACTTTTGTAAGCTAGACACACCCATCTGACAAAAATAAACTGCAAGGATAATTCAATATGTCTATTCGCAGTCTTCTATTTTGAACTACAAGAAATTCAAATTTTTCTTCCTCACATCTCCCACTGGTCTCTTCATGCATCCTTTAAAGCTCACTCCTTCATCTATACTGTCCAGATAGCCTGCCTTCTCCTGTACTCTATTGCCTATGCTCCCTTTTAATTTACTCTTAGTTAGCATTCTATCACATATCTGCTTGCATCTCTCCTACGCCTGTATTCAATCACGGAGAAGAAAAACCCTTTTCTTGTTTCACCTCTAGCCTCCAGGAGCATCTCAACACGTTCTCTGACTTGTGATTAATTATGCCCCTGTCCACAGGAAACAAAAGCATATCCACATAGCTGCACTAATGTAGCTACACTGATGTAAACTCTAGTTATCTGCATGGTGGAGCTTCTACTATGTGACCTTACTAGCAAAAAGTCACCCCTATTGTTGCAATGCTTCTGTGTTTTAAGACTTGTGCCAGCTACTTTTTTTTCAGTCCATTAGCGCAGATTTCCATAAGAGGAGGAGAGTATCCTAGATTCGAGTCTAAAGCATCATATTACATCTCCCAGACGGTGAGTTCCACACAGACAGAAGCACGAAAAACATGGACAGGTATACTGGGGAAAGAGAAGTTCCCTCTTCTTAAAATTAGCAACTCTGGTACTCTCAGCCTGTGCAGCAACACAGTTCTTTAACTCCTGCAAAGTGAGAAAGAGGATGCAATGGTTCAAAGTATACATACATCTTTCAAATCCCATTCTTTTATGCAGGATCACTCCCATCGTAGAGGGAAAGGGGTGAGAGAGGACTAACCTACACATTTTCTCCTCGCATTAGCACCAGGATTGTCCTCATAACTTAAAGGAGGTTTGCACTTTGTAAGATGTGCCAAGTTCATCGCTTTAAGACAAAGCATTGCTCAGCCAGACCTCTACCAACAAAAGATCACTCACCTAAACAAAATTCCAATCAGTAACTTCAAGCTGCTTTTGGGATTTGCCTGCACTGCAGTTGCTCTTGTGACTGCAGTATCATAAACAAACCATAAACTGACTAACCTAAGCAGCAACAACCATAGCACCTAGTTTAAACTATGCTCAGGCAGTTGCAATATAGACATAGTGCAACGCTCTGACTTGTGACAGAGAATCCTTTCCACATCAAAAATACTATATCCCATGTAATATCAAAAATGATTTACCATAGACCTTTTAAGATTTATCTTAATAATCATATACAAAAAACCCAAGAAAATAAAAAAGAGCAAAAATACCAATTCCAGTGAAGCCTAAGCCACGAACTGATAGGAAAAGGAAAGAACAGAAAACCAACTCAATTCCAATTAAACCTAAGCCATAAACTGAGCACTTAGTTTATATAGATATTACTGAACAAGTCATTTACATCATCTGGTTTGCTTTTAGCAATTATAATTTGTAAAACAAGACTTCCTCTAAAGTGATAAAATTTATGCTGAAATAAGAGAGAATAGTACCTTCTAGTCTTTGAATTTTGGCTTTCACAGAAATAACTGTTTCGAAGGGGGAAACTCGCAGTTCAAAGCATGTTCCTGTGAGCGTTTCAATGAAGAGCTCCATAGTTTCATAAAAAGGAAGCTTGTAGTGAAATGGTCCCATATTATCTTCATTGAAAAAAGGAGGCTCTTTCTTGTTGGCCATTACAAAGGATTTACAGCTTTCTCGTAAGAAGATCCGTCAGGAAACTACATTCCACTTCTAGCCAAGTCAGCTTTGAGGACAGGTGTGGTGCATTGCTGTTCATGTTTTGGATTTTTCACCTATAAAGCAAACATGCATAGTTCTAACAACATCTGAACATAGCAGTTAAAGGGAGTTTCAATTTATTCTTGATGAACAATAAAATAGCTATTAAGAAGTAGTAATTACTATCTAGGTCATGCAACAGATAGCCGCAAACGGTATTAGTAACATGGTAGGTTTAGGACTCTAGTTTCAGCCAGCATCCCAGGTCCTACCTAATACTTTTATTATTTTTGTTTTGTTTTCACAAGCGACGCGGCAATCCCACCTGCGATGTTAACACCTAAAGTCTCCTGATAAGGGCTAAGTCCTCAGCAGGGTCAGAGCTGGAGAAAAACTCCAGAAAAAAACATAAATCCAGGGACTCGTCCAGGCTCGGGGAAGGCAGAGGAAACGGCAGCTTTGCCCCCTCAGCAGCGCCGCGCTCCCGCCGGCCCGGTCCAGCTCCCACCCCGGGGCGGCAGAGCGGAGCGCCCGCAAACAAAGGAGCGAGAGCAGCTGCCCCCCCCCCGCGCCGCCGCCGCGCCTCGGGGCGGCCTCACACCCCGGCAAGGACGCGAAGCCCCGCCGTCCGTGCCCCCAGCCCGCCCTCGGGGGAGAACCAACCCCCTTCCCCCCAGGGACGCACTTCACGGCGGCAGGGCCGGGGGAGGGAAGGGGTAATGGCACTGTCCCTCTCCCCCCGCCGCGGCCCCGCCTCAGCACCCCTGAGGGAGCAGCACCCGCGAGGACCCGGCGTCCGCCGAGCCGGTCCGCGAGGGTAAGAGGGAGGGTGGGGTCTCACCTCACTCGCCGCCGCCGGGCCCGCTCGGGGGAAGACGCGGCTCCTCTCCCCCCGTGCAGACCTGCCCGCCGCCCCTCACAGGAGCGCGCCAGCTCCGGCGGGCCTCATGGAGGGGGAGCCGCCGCCGCTGCGGGAGAGGGGCAGGACCCGGGAGCCGCCCGCACCGCCACCAACGCCGCCACTCACTCCCCGGCAGCCTCCGCGCCTACCTAGCCTTTATGACATCCCCGCCAGGCGTCCTCCTATGGGCCAATGCGACACCCGTTCTCAGGCAGGTCGCCCAATCAGCTCCCTATAGGGGCGGTGCTCCTGACGCCGTCCGGGGCGGGTGTCCGCCGGGCCGCGGCGCGCTGCTCTCGCTTGTTGTGGTCGTTAAGACGCGGAGCGTGCGCGGGGAAGGACCCGGATGCAACGTCCCCACCGCTAACGACGGCGGTCACGTGACAGCTGCCCGCGCGGGGAGGGCCGCGATGGCTCCTGGGACATGTAGTCTAACGGGGGCGGGGCTGACAGCGGCCCGGTGGCCTCCCGCCCACCGCACGGGGTGGCGGGGCAGGGCAAGGCCGAGGGGGGTGTGGCTCCAAGGGCTCGCCCCTGCCCTAACGTTGCGTGCGCACCGTTAGCCTTTTCTCAGGGGAAACGTGCGAAACCAGCATTTATACCTCAAACGCAACCCGAGAGGCACCCAGGGCTTCCTCATGCCTACTAGCGCAGCGCTGGGCCCAGTCAGAGCACGAGCGGGATGACGATGACTCCCAGCCTGTGCAGGCCTCCCCGGTCTCCTCAGAGGCCCCCGGGGCAGCCCCGGCCGCTGGCAGGGAGAGGAGTACTGCTCTCAGGCACCGGTACTCAAGGTCAGCACTCGACTCTTATCCTGCTTCAGTCTAAGGTGTCCAGGAGCCAGTGCTTCCATCAGAGGATCAGTCTTCTGGCAAAATACTAGAGAAAACAAGCTTAGCTGATTAGGAGGTGCTAATTACATTAACCACTTTACTTTCTCTTTAGGTTTTAAATTATGCAAGGCCTACCCTGATTCAAGCTGTTAGGTTTCAGGCCCAGTTAAAACACTCAGAACAAATACTGTGGTTTTTCACACGCACGTAGCAGGTATGTGAGCCCTCTGACAAAGAGTGCTGAGCAAGTTCTGGGTGCTGTAACACTGGGCCTCCAGCTCTGCCGTTCCCAGAAAATGCAGCCATGGGTTATCACATTTGCAAAAAAAGACACACCAAACCAAAACTCAGTTTAAAAAGCCACCGCTCAGACCCAGCCCTCCCAAAAGTGAAGTGCCTAGACCAGGATTCACAGTGTGTTACTGGGAGTTAACTGAGGACCACACATTTTCACAGGGGGAAGAGACTGTCCCCATGCCAGTTCAGAAAGACTTGGGGTAGAAGAAAGGCTCTGATCTACGTCATGGTGCAAGTTTCTGTCAAGAGCTTTTCTCTACTGAGCTTTCACATTAAAGTTTAAGAAAGGCTTTATGGCAAGAGCTTTTTCTTGTTTTACTCCAACAGCTTTTGGCCCCCAGGGTTCTTGGCTTGTGAACAACACTCTTTGCAATGCTAATAGAAGTTATTAATGTGAAGGGCCAAGAAGAAAGGAGGATGCAGAAAAGAAAGAGAAAAATTCACCATCTTTTTCCTCTTTCCCCCAGTATGTCTTTGAAGCCCTTCTAAGCACAGAAGAAAGGAGTAAAGCAGCAGTCCAAATCATGTATGAGGCATATGCAGCAGATGTAATGCCTATAAATAAAGCGCAAGTGCTCTCACTGTAGACACCCATTTGCAAATAGCTCCCACATTCTTTTCCAAGCTGCTACTCTCAGCTTAGCCCCCACTTAACATGAATCATTGCCAGGCCCACCTATGGCGCAAATCAATGTTTCTCCTTTATCCCTTCCAACCTTTCCTTCTGCTTTACCCTCATTAGCGCTAGATGCTTCAGCTGTAGTATTTACCGTGCCTGATAAAGTGAATCCAACTTGAGAAAGAAGAGACTCAAGCAGATGTCTCAGAACAAGGGCTTCAGTGAAAGTGGGAATTGCTCTCAAAGGAGTCCTCTAAGCACATACTTTAAATTCACAGAAAGAAAAACAGATAAGTAGTATATTGCTATCTAAAAACCAGCGCATCTAGTTTTAAAGTCAGAATTGCAAGCAGTCACTGGTAAAATAAGAGGAACATGTGATCCTTCTACATTTGTGCATTTGCTCTGTTTGTATGCATGCAGGAGAGCAAGTGTCTACCATTAGGCATCAAGTATGGTTAATGGCATCGGTTCCAGAAGGGCAATCTAGAAAATACAGGAAGCAAGTAGGTTAAGCCAAATGCATCGGACAGTTAAAGGGATTCCACAAAATAGCAACCTCCTGTAAACAGCCTACAATGTGTTACAGATGAGAAAGCAAAGCAGACAACAAGCCTCTGCGCACAAGTGAGTCTCTGCACTAAGGTATGCCCATAGCCTTGTTAACCTGGAAGTGACCAAGCATGCTCAGTACAGATGGACTTCTTGGAAAGTGCTATTTTCAAAACTTTGGCAAATCCAGGCAGGTGAAAAATCTCATTTAGTGGCTTACAACTTGAACGGGAGACAATGTTAGGTTTCTGTTGTTTTCATGGAGCACTAGGTGCTCATCTGTAACACACTTTCTGGCAGAGAAGTTTTAACCATTGTCATTTTTATAGACCACATTAGCTGCCAATATTAAATACCTTATCTCTATCTGGTGTCAAGTCCTGCACTAAGATTTTTTAACTGCTCGATTACATAAGAGGAGAAGCTGTACCTGATAAAAGAATCCAGCCTTACCCTAACATTAGCTCAGTAGATTGGCAGCTAACTCAGACAAGGCATGGTAGTGGTTTTGGTTGTTTTCAAGTCATGATGCAGACATCCTTAGCAAGTGGTAAAGAGGAAAGTAAGACATACAGACAGATCTGGTTTAGCAGACTCCATTTACTGTTTACCAATTATTTTCTCTATAGATCAGTTCAATAAAACAAACTATACTTTGTATAATAGATTACTTCATTGCAGGTATTGCACAGGCTATATTCATCTGGGCACCATGGAAACAAGATAGCAGGAGGTTACTGTCTTTTTTTAAAAAATAAATCATTTAGCACAATTATACCCAGCACAAGAGAATACTAACCATTTCAAATGGATACTCTCATTTAATATCAACAGCGATCTCATTTCAGCTCTACTGGATTAGAGGATCCAGAGTGTTAGTACTGGACAGGGCATAAGGAAGGCTTCCTCTCTGCAACACACTCCCCTTGGCTACTGGCCTCCAAAGGCGTTTAGCGGGTCATCAAATGTGCTCAGTGTCTTGCTTTCAGATTTTGCTTCTGAGGCTGCTTGGGAAGATCTGCTTTTGGGAGTGGGTATCTTGACTTGGCTGCTAGAGAAGATATCATCTAAAGGGGAAGGAAAAAAAAAATAGAGATTTTAATGTGAAGTGACTGCCAAACAGGAGTAACGTTGTACATAAGCGTCTACAGCACACAGCAGTGACTGCCAAGGACATTCTGTGATAAACAAATGTTTTCCTGCTGCTTGCAATTCTAGATGCATTTGTAAGGACATACGTGGCAGCTGTTAGCTGTAAGTCAAATTAAGAATATTTTTTCTTCTCAGTAGAGCAGCATAATACTTGTATTTTATAACATGTTCAAGCTCTCATAAGCATTTGAGAAGTACTAATAAATTAAATCTCCACAATAAATTCCATCATGCAAGTGCCACATCCCTCTTATCTAGAACATTAGCGTGTGAGGAACCTGAAAGGTCCAAGAGCTGTGAGGCTGTTGCCAAAGAAAATCAGAAAAGATAGTACTTGCTAGCGACTACTGTTGTGACATCCACTAGCCATACAAGTGTCTTTGATCTACAGCACAATAAGAACGCAGCATAAATCACTTGAGAACAGAGCACAGCTAAGATGCAAGGAGGCAGACAGCTACAACTGCCATCCTACTATATATTCAAAAAGTCTGTCTACAGTCCTGAATCAAGATCTCCCACCACCTTCCTCAATACAAGCATTTCCGTTACGAATAAGTAGGACCACAAAGTGGAAAATATCATGTTGCTATTAAGACAGAGTTCTCTTCTGAAGGATAACAATAGGTATAAATGAAACCCTCCAACCTGGATACCCTGTGCCAGCAGCAGAGCTCACAGACCTGCAGTTCTTGCTGTGGCTAGTGCTGGTTGTGTTTAGGACTGTGCTCATGGAAAGAGACGGAGCTGCTACCATACACACACTGAAGTGTTGCCCTGAGGTTTCCTGGGCACACACAACAGCATATCTCTTCCTATATGCTAAGGTTTTAAATTTAGGATACTCAGATTATGCAGTTGGATTATGAGGGGATAAAAAAAAAAATCAAATTACAAGACTAAGAGACATGGATCACTAGTGATTCATAAGGCCAGTGTAAGTAGCACATAACTGGTCTTGAGTCCCTATTAAGAAAACACAGGTCTTATAGAGACACTAGTCCAGAATATAAAAACTAGTATTTCAGCCTTCAACATGTCTCCTAACCTTGAGCAGAGGCCAAGTGCCTATCACAATGTGCTTGCCTTTCTCTTCTCGCTACTTCTTCCACTCCAGCACGTGTCAGCTACTGTGCTGATCATAGGGATTACATAGGAATAATCCAGGACAGCATTTCAGCACAAGAGCAGTTTAGAAAGGCAGTAAAACAGAGTAATCCCCTACTGGCATCACTCCAAAGCAAGAAGCTATCACATGGATTGGCTTCACAGCAGAGGGGAAGTACAGTGAGTGCCATAAGCAGTAGAGGTATCGCTCCCATTTTATAACAAGGCTTAAGGAATAGGATACTTTTGGCCATGGAAAACAGTATTTGTCAATGCACAAGAAAGCTCAGTCACCATTTTGCAGACAGGCAGAGGTGGCATCAAGATGTTTGTGTCATCAGCCATAAGGTCACTGAGGAGGCTAGGAGGATAAAGACCTGAGAAAGAGTTTTTCTAATACTGCCACCACAAGCCTAACACAAATGTAGTAAATAGTGACTAGAAGCTGTGGTAGGACAAAGGAAGGCAGCTTGCTTCCCCAAGCTGCACCCACTTAGTGTTTTATTTGCAGCAGAAAGGACCTCCTAAGACAACAACATACAGCCCTGATAAAATGCTACCATGATCACTTAAGCCAACCCTTAACCTGAAGTGTAGGCAAGTGCCAGTTCTACTACTGTACTGCCAGCAGTGCATCCTCACCTTCAGGCATCTTCCCTACACTCCTGTTGGTGTTCTGGAGCTCCATAGCTTTAGCCACTACAAAGCTGCATACCTATGGCTGCACTACAAAACAGTCAACACTCTAGAGGAAGATGAGTCTATCAGATACAGGGTGCTGCAGATGCTCTGGGTATCATGATCAGATGTGACATGAAACAACAAGCTCTAGCACCAGAGTATATGTCAAAAGTGGAAGTACAAACAACAGGTTCTGTTGTGGCTAATTTTCCAAGATACTTTCAAGTGGCACTCTACAACTGTTTTTTTCAGCATGAAGTCTGGATTTTTGTGCTGAAATTTGAAAGGGGTAACTGTTTGGTAATTTTTTTTCATTTGCTATAGGCTACATGCAAAAATGTAAATTATTACAATCAGGTATTTTAACAATCCAATACATATTTCAAATACCTTGCCCGCAAATGTTTAAGTCTTATTTTTAACACCAATTGAGAAGGTTTTGAAATCTCAAGACGTTTGTTCATTCTCTGGCAAGTTTTCTAACACATTTACAGACTTCAACCAGGTCATTCCATCAGGCTGGAATGCTTAACAGCAGTCCAAGCAAAACAAAGATAAGTCACATTCAATTTGAATAGTTTAGAAAGAATGGAGACTGACAAGAATCAAAGCTAGAGGAGAAGGGATTTTTTTGTCTTAGAGGAAAAGACATATAAGCAATCCCAAAGTAGAGCTATAAACATGAAGAGCCTGAGAACAAACAGACATAGTTGCAGATCAAATTACTTTCAATACCTCCACTGATAGGAAGTAAGAAAGGAGCATGCTTTGCATCATTTCACATTACTATATGCTGCTTTTTCAACAAATTATACAGGGCAAACTTTTGCTGTCAGGTGTAGTATTTGTAAATTGTTCTAGGTATACAAGGATGTAAACAAAATCTTTTGGGCTCCAAGGTAGTCAACACAATAGTGAAGATGGGGTGGGAAGAGATGCTAATTTCTTCATATTGGTGATTCATCTGAAAGTACAATACAAAAAGCTGTGCAAATGGCAACAGAGACTGTATCTCATGTCAACATGAGATCTCCAGACGAGAAATTTTCTAATTCCCACAGGTGAGAAAATCCCTACAGGAATTAAACTATTCCTTCTCTTGGAAGAATTTTATACACTCTCCTAAATCATTTAAATGCCATGCTAGTTCTACAAATCTAGGAAGTTCTCATCCAAGGTTAAAATCCAAAGATGACCAGAGATTTCAGAGCAGTTGAAAAGTTGAAAGAAAGCAAAGGGTTCTAAAACATCTCCGAGGAATGCAACTCAGGACAATATTATGCGATTAGCAGCCAGATGGTAAACACTTACCCATATCATCATCAAATATGGATTTTTGTTCCACCTTTTTCTTGGTCTTCTTTTCTTTTGGTTTTATGGTGAGATCCGCAAAAATATCAATGTTATCATCAAACAGGTTAGTCTCTGGCATTTTCTCTTTTGCTTTGTTCATTGGTTTAACTGCCTCAGTAGCAAATATATCATCCTTGGACCAAAGCATAGAGAGATCATCAATACACAACACATTCAAGAGAATAGTAAAATTATCTGTACACAGCAGATGAGATGTTTAGAAGACTGACAGCCTTGGACTTCTCAAACCTGAGGAGTTTGCATCCCTTCTCCCCATGGAGGACTCAGCAGAAGCACCTTAGTGTGGGACTGTGCACAGGTCAAGTAAAGCACACAGAGGCTGCCCAGCCTGCCAACTTTATTCCTTTTAAAAAAGAGTTACTTGAGCTGCTGTGCGTTGAACAGACAGCTAACAGATAAGAACCAAATACTTTATTACTCTGAAAAAGGTCATAAGCATAGGTATGTTGTCACAGCAGCACATTCCGTGACATGCTTGCTCTGTGTTAAGGCTGCACCTTTTAATCCACTCTTGCCAATAAGGGGGTGAACAGCCAAGGAAAGGGTTTCTATTGCTCAGAAGCAGAGCATGATTGACAGTTTACTTCACTACCTATCCTGCACACGCCACCCTACTCAGCAGCCTCCATTAAGCCTGTGTCTAAGTAGAGGGGTCTGCATAAGGCCCTGGGAATCACAAAGGCCAAGGTGGCAGGCTCAACCATTACCTCAAAGATATCTTGGGCAGTAGGGTCAACAGCTTGCCAGACAGCAGATTTCAACTCCTTTCTTCCAGTTTTCTGACAGGTGAAAAGAGAGTCTTCCTCTTCCTCCAAAAAAGGTATAGGGCTGCTTTTTGTTGAAGATTTTTGCTGTACAGGCTGGAAGAGATCATTGCTGTCCTGAACACTGAGAACAGACTGATCAGGCTTCTTCTCCCTGCCCTTGATGGGTTTCTTAGCCACACCGTCTAGCATTCCCTCCTTTAAGTTTGATTGTGCACCTGGTCTGGATGTTGACCTTTTTGCAAGCAGCTCTTCTGATTCAAACAGATCATTCCCTTGGTCTGTGGATTCTGAAGGAAGGAGTTTGTTTGTCCCAGCAGACAAAACACTGCCATGAGCCGGTAGTGACAAGCCAGAAAGCAAGCCATCTTCCTTGGACTCTGCTTCAGTAGCAAGAGGCTCCCTTATGTTCACTACTGCTGACATCTGTTTTGGTAGAGAGAATTGTGTTTCTTTAGCAGTGTCCACCTCCTCACTCTCTTCAGACTCTTGGGCAGCTAGACGGCGGGCCATTCTGCTAGGAGGTCTTCGTTTTCCTGTAACCTTGATTCTGGTCTGCAAGAAAGGAATAAAAGCAGAGCAGGGTTATACAGAAGGAAAAAAAACCCCACACTTCACAGAAGACAAGTTAGGATTCCTGTTATGTTTCCTTGTAGCACTTTGTCCATCTTCACAACACTTCAATTAAATGCATTACCCATTTCGTACTAGCACACTAAAACTGAATTAACTACAAGTTCTCCTCAGAGCTCTGGTTTAAGTAACTTAAACAGCTACATGTACATTTAAACAAATGCTCAGTTGGGAGTCTTGAGCAAGGAATGCTGAGCAGACACAGATTTAGGTTATAGGGAGAAGCAGCAGGAACCATTCATCATCAGCTCAGCATCATCCATTCTCCCCATTTTTCAGAAAGGGGAAAGATGGACAAGCAGGACATTCAAGCCTGGAGTAGTTTGCAACAAGGTTCAGAAAAATAACCCAGGACTCTTGATTTGCTGCCCTATGGTCATTCCACAGCAGGTGGAATTGTGGTACAAAAGCAACAGCACGTGCAAGTAGAGAGTCACAACACAGGTCAGCAAGCCACTCTAGCCCTTTGGCTTTAGGTAATACCTTAGTCAGTCTGACATCTTGCTAATCCAGGGGCTTCTGCAGTGTGCTTAGTCTGTCCAAGCCATGACTAATTATATTTTCCATTTAATTTCATTTTATGCATAGCCCACTGCAGTGCATGCCTCTGCTTCTTTTAAAGAAGCCCCCCTGCAAGTTTTCATCATAGCCTCTACCATATCCCACATGGACAGGAGTATTCACACAGGTAAGAAACAGATCAGTGCAACCTCCTCTTCCCTGTTGTTAATTGTTCTGTTGGAGTAGAAGGAAAATCTGGATGGATATACTGCAACACAGGTTAAAGGAACCATGTGCTTTTGTCAGGATCATTGTAGAAGCAGATCTGCCTTCAGAGTGTGGGGCTGTACTGATCAGAGCATGGCTGAAAACCAGGAAGATTATGATGGAAGGGAGATGCACTTGGAAAAAAACCCAAAAAACCTGATCCCTGCTCCATGCACTGTTCTTTGAAAGGACAGCCAGAATACTGGGTAGGTTGCTTTGTTCCAGCCTTTGGTAAAAAGTGCATTTGGCTGCATATATTTACAGCTTAAACTCAAACTTGAAAGGTTCAAGAAGCAATGACATGCCAAAATTAAAACATGTAACCTGAGCCACAAAAAACATTCACTATATAGAGATGCCTCTTCTCAGCTTAATTCTGTAAACAAACATGCATCATCACTATGCTAAAATGAACATTCAAGGTTGACCATATGCAGCTACAGGAGCTCTATTTATTCTTTTGCAAGCCTATCTATTTAAAAGTGTTATGATAGAGGGGTTTGTCTGTTGTGCAGGACATGCTGCTATTGGAAACAACTATGCCTACATGATAATGCATTAGTCTGATGTACAAGCTTCAAACCCATTTGACACTAAGGGGTCATGTCAGCCATTGTGGTGACAGCTCCTGCATCTTCCCAAGTCATTTCTACTGCTCATCTAGTAATGAACAGCCCCAGCAGTGTTAAGGAAAAAAAGAATCAAAGTTAAGAACCTAAGTTATCTTATTCATATTGCTGCTCTCAGGAAACCCAAGAGATTTATAAAGTTATAAGCACACAGACCAAATCTTAACTACTTGGTTCAAGCTTTATCTTTTTTTTTTTAAAGAATCACTAAATCTTTAATTAGAATATGCCTTTCGCAGTCCATAAAGTAAAAGGTATGAATAAAAACCACATGAGTCAGGAGGCAGAGATCTGCCATGTCAAAAGCTGTAACCCTTTTTTTGTTTTGGTTTTGTGTGGGTTTTTTCTTTAAAAACAAAGTTTTTGTGTGAAAAAGAATTGGGACTGACAGTTCAGGACAACATGACATTTTTATCCACAGAGGAGGTAAAGGTCAACCTACAGCAGTGATGTGTTCTTGGTATCTTGCCACAGTAGCTGTCCATAACATATTTTGTATGTTATATAGAGAGATGCCTTTTTTATGGTTTTCTGGATGGTGTCTCCTGGGACAGGACAAGATGTTATGCTAAAATACCTTTAACCTATAGGGAAAACCACTGTATTTGGGGAACGTACACATGTAGCTTAAAAAGGCACAGAATTAGGCATATGCATAAGACCCTTACAGAGCTAAGAATGTAGGAGGCTTGACTTTCTCTTCAGTGGTCCACAGAAGTGACAGGAGATTAGATTTCCACACCTCCATTTAGATTCAGATAGACCACACTGTTAGCAGCACTTGCATACCAAAACAAAAATTCCTGCATGAGGACAGACTGTGTTTTTAATCCCCCTTTATATCTTCCTAAATACCAAGGTTACCTTATTGGCACTGTGCAAGGTATCCGCTTGCATAGGCTGATCAAAGCTTACACCTAGTTCTTCATTGTTTCCTGCAGCAGAGAAGGCTTCACTGTTTTGTACATCCTTGGGCTCATGCAATGGAGTGTCCAGAACTGGTAAGGGGGACTTTATACTAGAGACCTTAGGCATTGCACCAGGCAGTAAGGCTGCAGGGTTAATAGCTAAGTTAGCCTACAAAACAGAAAACAAAAACACACACACAAAAAGAGATCATGTTAATACTGCTCAAGAACAAGCATGGCTCCAGAGAAGCAGCAAGAATAGTGTATGTAGGCATTCAAGTTCTACAAGTGCCTGGCCTTTCGCACACCTATGCAATTCTGTGTCTCCCACATCCTCTGTCTCACTAAGTCTGCGGAGCGCTCAACACTATTATTCTATATAAAAGCTTCAGGAACAGCATGGCCATGTCAGACCAAACATCTATGTAGCTCAGTATCCTGTCTGAGGATAACAATGGTTCTGACATTAAGATGACACTGTGATATAGACAGTTATTAGTCATTTCATGGCAGAAGAGGGACATAACCAAAATCCCAAACCCCTAAGAGTCTCTGAACATACCTAAATAGTGCTGAGAAGAATAGCAGGTCAAAGAGGAGCCCACCCTCTGCCCCCCAAATAGAGTAAATAGTGCTGCTCAGAGTCAGGTCTGAAATGGGAGGGGGAAGTAATATTAAACATGCAATACAGAAAAAGTAATAGGAAAATACGCCATCTGAAAAAAAAAAAATTGCAAGAGTAAGGTAAGAAGTAGAAAGATTTTGTTTCAGGGGAAGCCATCAGTGAGGCAAGGAAGATTTTTTTTTTTTTTTTTTTTTTTTGAAAGTCAAAATGCCAGTAAAGTTAATTACTTGTAGCTCTCCAATCCGAGATGAGGGCTCTTTGGTTTTAATGGGAACAGGACCTGTAGATTTCTGCACAAAATTACACTGGATTAAACAAGTGGACAAGCTGTTATCAACCAGACTGTAGTTTGCATTTTAATACATCTATACAAAGCAGCTCACTGCTTACCAATTTCTTCTGAAGATACCTTGTTATCATCACATTCTACCGCCAGAACTACAGTCACTCAATTTTCAGCTTCAATTCCCCACATGCCATAGCCCCATCTTCATTATCACATTTCATTCCACCTTCCTTCTACCCATTATTATATTTTGCCATAGTAACTCAACAACTACCATCTTCTCAGGTCACACACACCACCAGTCAAATCACACTGTGACAGCTACCCTCCCTCCTTGCTTATTCCCTCCCTTAAGACTCTCTGAAGCCATGTTGCCAGATCATTATGTAACTAACTTTTCTCTTTGTGACTGGCTATAATAGGGCCATGAATTTCAGTGAAGCCCACATGGACGCTGAGGGGGCTACAGAATTGTACCCTCTTAGCCTGCAAGGAAAAAAGCTTCAGAGAAGTGAGTGCTCCTCTATAGAAAGCAGGCCATCAGTGCCAGAAATAAGACTAACCTAATAGAGCAAGAGCAGCTGTTTGGTCTGAAGACTTGCATCAACTCTAGGGCTCAGGGATGAACCAAATCAGCTAAGGTGCTCTTCCCAGAGCTTGCTCTCCACAAGTTTGTAGTCTACATGGTTCTCTGAGCTAGGCTCTGCTGCTGTTGGTGTGGCTGGGCAGTCAGAGCTCCTTCAGCCAGGCTGAAGGAACTGAGGGGTTTGCAAGGGTTAGGACACTGGTTTGGGCATCTTGATAGCATGACAGAGGAATCCTAGTGTCTGAGGAGATTGTTCCTCACTTAAATGCATGTGATGTTCAGCTGAACCTCAGACAGGCTGAGATCATTCCTGTACCACACTGTCAGTAGCTAAAAAAAAAAAAAAAAAAAAAAGGGGGGGGGGGAAGACGAGCCTGGTGCTACACTTCAAGGAATACTTCACCATAAGGAAAGACAGGCTAATTACTAGCCCTACAGACGTGCTCTATGTTCTTCAGCCCAGGGGAGAAAAAACAACACCCAACTCCCACAATGAAAAGCTAATCTCCTACAGATGGAAATCCAACAAGCAGCTCTGGTGAGGCACAAGCCTGAATTCAGATCCAGACTGCCTGTCTCAGAGACCCTTGGTTCTACAAGATTACGGACAGGAGTAGGAGTCTTGTTTGCTCATCAAAGTCTCCATGATAAGATTCCCAACAGCCACAGATTTGTGCTGCATGCCCCGATCACCTTTCTGAGAAAGCCTACCCTATACTTTAAAGATCACATTCACTCCAGTAGACACTGGCACTTCAGAGTAGAATGAATAACAACCCATTTTCAATCCAACAGGGCCCGAGGTGTACTTCTTCACTGCCTTGTACTTTGCCTTTGTAAGTGTGTGGGCAATGAATAAAACACTGTACCAATACCATTTAAACTTCTTGCTAGTAACAGTGCACCTGCTAATAAGCAGAGACAAGTTTGGCCATGCATTGCCACTTTGCAGCCAGTGAATCCAGGCATTAGTTTTGATCTTTTCAAGAGACTTATTTAAAACAAAATGATACATCCCCTTTTTCTCTGCATGCTGTTCAAGGCACAAGATTTAAGTACTTGCCTCTGTAGTTACTGCCTTCAGAGCTTCATCTTGTTTGGCACGTAAAGCATTTTGTAGAAAGTTACTGCTCTCCAAGGAAGGGCCAGTACTGGCCTTAAGTGTTTTCTTCTCAGCTATTTTCTGAAAGCATTAATAACACAAGTCAACATGAATGGGGTTAAAAGCATAGTCTGTAGATTAAAAAACAAACAAACAAACAAAAAAGCGCAAAGCTTTTTAAAATCTTGCTTCTATCTGAAAAGAAAACTAGCCACATCTTTTGACTCTGCAATGCATAGCAGCCATTGCCTTTTGGCTGTGCAATGCCAAGGGCCTTCCACTCCTCCATTCCTTTAGCCTACCTCAACCTTTGCTGTCTATGCTAATGATAAATAATGAGAGTTTCAATAAACTTCCAAATGCATACGTATTTCCTCATGCACAGGACAGCAGGGAAAACAAAAGCACAAAGCTAGCTAAGGAACACTGCTATTTTTATGTTTTCAAGCAAACAGGCTCCATATATAGCTGCCAAGCAGCTAATTACTTAAGACCACCCCTTCCACAGTCCTCAGAGAAACTGTTTCCAGGAACTATTGCCAGTTTTCTAGCCTAACTTCCAGCTATAGACATGACAACATGAAAATAGACTAAAGTAAAAGTTGGCTTCAATTTAATTAAGCTAAATACATTTAGAGTAACAGTTTAGAATGCACATTAGGACTTTGACCTCAGACCACCTGTAATGCAGTCTAGTTCATTACTGCAGCTGCTTAAAACAACCCTCTAAAAACAACCCAGTGATCACAAGGATTTTAATACTGCATTCAATACCTTAAATCAAACCAACCTGCAGAGACTTTAATTACATAAGTCATAGAGCAAGACTCAGCAGTCATGCATGAACTACAGGGAAGTCATATTAGTAAGTTAATAAAACAATACAAACTCTACTACTCTGATTTCTGCTCAGGTGTGTTCTCTTACACCTCAGCCAGTCCCAGTGGTGCACAAAAAGAAAAAGAATCCAATCCTCTCATCCCAGTTTTGGGAGACCTAATGCATCTGTTTGTTCCCTGTGTCTTCAAGGTCACAATGGCCATTTCTATTCTCTCAAAAAGATCTGAGAAGTCACTTAATTTCTTGTGGGAATACGTATTGAAAAAAATCCCTTCCATACACTTCTTCCCAACGTCTTTCATGTAAGCCATTTACAGCAAAGGAACAGATACCGGAATGTTTGTTTTAGCAGTACTGAAGAGATCATCCTCATCATCATCCCCAAAAAGGCCTCCTCCAGATGATGGCTTCAGGATACGGTTTGCAGACGAAAGAGAGAAAGGATAAAGAAAAGATGCATCACAGATCAAAAGCACATCTCCTTCGGCCCATGATGCTTGAACTGATATTAGCACTTGGTCCTCCCTGGAAATCAGTGACTTCTAAGCTGTGTTCAAACAAGGAACACCAGTAGGCTGCACAGTTCAAAGACTTCTTCAAAGACTGTTTTGAAATAGCAGGTTCAGAGAAGGACTTTGAACTCACCATCGACTTCTTGGGGCTGGCAAAGAGGTCGACGTCTGGATCATTGTCCTTCTGAAGTTTGTGACTGAAGAGGAGCTCTTCGTCTTGAAAGACTCCAGTGCTTTTGGGCTGAGTACTTTTCTCAGAAGCCTGGAATGAGAGAAGAAAGGTCCACACAGTGAGAAACGCCCTCCTTAAGGAGGTTATTTGCCTAGTGATAAGACAGATTACAATTCACCTGAGGCTACACTATGACCCTGGTAACAAAAATACAATTTTAACTGCAAGTTATATATTTTTCTTTGACCAAATTTGCAAAACTGACAATGTAAATATTTGTATTCACAGTTCAATTTGATGAGAAGACATTAACCAAAATGCATCTGTGTCTGCTGACCTGAGATCCAGCTGCTACTATTTACCTGTAAAGCTTCCTTAGAAGGAAGGGGAAAGAAAAGAAAAAAAAAAATTCAGTATGTTATCATGAGTGTACAGTAAGGTTTCTATTTCAGGAAGATAAGCCTTTTATGCCTTGAATTTTTCAGCTGAGGCTGCAGGACAGAGAAGTGAGAGAAAGAGAATCTGGTTAATTATCTTCCTAAGCTACATTTTTAAAGAAGAATAAAATAAAATGAAATAAACCACCAAAGTTGAAGGCCTGTAAAGCTATTATTGTTGCTAGATTCCCTGTTCTCCTCCTGTTGAAGCAAACACACCTCCACAATGAAGAACAGAACACATTGTCTGCCTTTGCCAAGAACTTGTATTTTCAAATTTGCCGGTGGGGGGACGGTTGACAGTCAGACATATCACCTTATCAGCCCTCCACTATCTGGCAAACCAACCAATATCAGCTGCTTGAACACCAAAACCAATGCCTTTCTATGATCATGGTCACTGTATGCACCGAGGTCTGACTTTCAAAAGGCAAAGGACCCACTGAATGTCTAGGTAAAGGCCAGTATCCATATTTCACCACCCAGCTGTCTCTTTAGCACCTACACAAATGAAAGGATGTCTCTTAAGAGCATGACTGAATGTCCAGTAGCATAACATCAGACTTCAAATCCAAGCAGCAGGTGCAGTAGTCATAATAAAGCCCGATTCTCCCCTTTCCAGTCCAGGTATCCAGGAGTCCCAAAGGGCTGCCTACTAAAGCTAGTTTCCAGTATGCCATTTTTGGTCCATACACCCTGTCCTATGATTTTTATTACTGCTCCATTCTCAGCCTCTCTGTGCACCAGCTTTAACTTTATATCAAAAGCCAGGTCACATTTTTAGAGCACTGGAACTGCTGTTCATGCTCAGATACATGAAAACCTAATGCACATCTCAAAGTATCCATACATGAAACTCCTATTACACTGAGATAAGCAAGGAAAATAGTAGCACCTTTCAGATTTGCCTACCAAAAAGATTAAGTTCCTAAATTACCTATTCTGATTTTTGCATGAATATGCATTTTAGCACCTTAATCACTTCATGACTGTTATATGCTGACAGCCGAGTACTTTGAAGGAAAGATTTGAAAGGATTTGTATCTTCCTAAATTCATAGGACAGATTTTGCTTCTTGCAACCATCTTGCAATGTGCCCCCCCCCCAAAAAAAAACCCCAGACACAGCATACATTCACAACAAGTAAATAAGCACTCAAGCTTACAATCCATTTTTACTTAAAAGCAGCTATAAACAAGGATTTTTCTCAAAGAGCCATCTATTTCATTCAGCTCCAGGGACTTCTGAATAAAGTGTGTTTAGCATTTAGGGTTGACAACTTACTTTACATGGTCACACTAAGATGATGAAACCTTGTAGTATACTGTAGTATACGGTATGTACTTTTTGACATGACTTCAAGTTTACAGAAAAAAATTTGGTACACCTGCATCAAGTAGAAACAAGAACATTGCCATGGATTCAGGATATAGCTGCTGAAGATTCAAAATCTACGTCTTGATGGTATACACTATATCAGGAAAGCCAGACAGCAAGAATATGGCAATTGGAGGCTTTGTAAAAAAGTGAACACACATACTTGAAAAACAGAAGTAAGCATAGAATTAAGATGATTCTTGCTGAAGCTAAGCCTGCAGGCATATATCCACCAAGCAAATTGCAACAATATAAAGAATATAAAGGGATAAACCACAAGGCTTCAAATTCCACGTCCTTCTACTTCCTAGTACCTCTGACCTTGAGGGGTGACTGGGCAAACAGTTCTGTACAGCAGACATCAAGTAGCTGCACCAAAACATCTGTACAGAATTTCTTTTCATACTAGCATGCAGCAAAATGCTTTCGAGTTAGTGGGATGGACAAATTTACAAAGGGATTCAGGATCATGAGGAAAAGCAGGAATAATTTCTCACCCAAGAACCTGGAATTTTAGAAATACAGAAAGATTAGCCTCCATGACATGAAGAGAGGGAAAGGTAAAAACAAAACCTTGTACAGAAGAGGTAGAAATACTATTTCCTAGTGTTCAAGAACTTCCCTAGACTCACCACACCAATTTCTTTCTGTGCATTTTTAATGTCGTTATCATCTTCCAGTCTCTCCTCTTCCTCCTCCTCAAACAAGCTTAACACTTTCTTAGCTTGGGACTTGACGACTTTCTCCAGAGCTGGTGGTGATGTTGCAAACACACCCGAGCTGCTGTCTGGCTCTGGGGATGTTGCTGCAAAAGGCTCCATAAAAAACAACAACAACAACAAAAACATTAACACATCAGCCTGTTATTTTTCAGGTTTGTCCAAAAAACCACTAAGCTTTCTTGGTTAAACGCCACCAGCTGTCAGAGTTCTGCAATCCATTACCAAGCAGACAACTATATTCAACTCATTTTTCCTAAGCAGACAGAACAGCAACATGCAGATTAGCAAGAAACAGTAGATAAAGAAGAGAACATACTTCATGGCTCTGAAAGGAACAAAAGTTTCCTCCTGTACCCTACACTGTAGCACTGTTGATAAGCAGCTCCTGCATAAGGTTTCCTCCTCATCCATATGTCAGGTTGCATCTGCGCCACAAGGGTGCATTAAGCAGCTTTGCCATTTTCTCTGAGGTACCTAGTTCACGCGACCTGGGATTCTTTGGAGTGGGCAGCACTACCTAAACCTTGAATGTGCTTAGGAAAGTGCAAAGCATGGTAACTACTCTGGAAATTCATCAGTTAGTAATTCCCCAACAATCCCTCTGTAAGACCATGCCCAAGATTAAGTTCTGCTGAAGTTTCTTCAATAATACACTCAATAATACCACCAATACTGTTCTGTAACAGTATTGCCAGGAGAAATTCACAATCCTGAAAGCCACAGCTGCCAACACCATTTATAAATCATCAGACAGTATGCTGAAACAAAGTTACTGAGCTTGGCGCAAAGCCTACACATGAGTATAGGCTGTCTTTTAAAGGAAAGCTCTGTTCATATGACTAAAGATTACCCAACCCACTCTGGAGGAGAAACAAAACAGATTCCAACCCACAAAAAAAACCCCAAACAATTCTCTCATGTACATCAGTTGGGAAACAACTTTTAAATGGCATTTAATCAATTTGCTGTTTGACTGACAAGTGATTTTGCTAAATGGAAACAGAGTTGTTCTCTCCTTGGCAATAGAAGAGGCAATCCAGAAAAAGAATTCTGTCCCAGAGCAGCAGTGTTAGATTGTGGGGTTTTTTAAACTGAACCTTTACCAAACTTCAGACTAACGTAAGAAAATCTCTCACTTTTTCCTTTGTTTGCTGCCCTGCAACATCTGCTCCTCTAGGCACAGGAACTGCTCCAGGCTCTTTTAAACACCGCAATGTATCTTCTACCTGATTAGACTTCACTGCTCTATCTGGCAGACCTTCCTTTTCCTCCTTTTCTTCTTCATTAAAGAAAGGTGGTGCTTGTGGTGGTTTTACTTTCTCCTGCAAAATCAAGAGAACACCAGTGACACAGAGCTGGTGGGTATATAAGAAGCATAAGCTGCCGTGGGATAGCAGAGTCTCAGTTTGCCTTCTCCAGAAATCCAGGACAATGGCAACATGCTTGACTTCTACTTCCCTCCCTTGGGACATTCTGGTTTGTGACTTGACTTCTAGTATTACAGGCTCTTGAGTCTGCTTGAAGAGTGCTGGGAAGCAATTGCAAGCTTAGAGTGGATGCCCTAGGAATATGGTCTGGTTGGTGCACCATTTCCTGTGACTGCCAGCAGCTAGAATGTGGCTTGCTTGTTTCTTCTTCTATTCCCAAGCCTAATATCTTTATGGGCCTTGACAACTATTTTCCCGGTAAGCAGAAAGGCAAGGCTGGGAGCAGGGGCGGCACACACACATGTACAGGATACAGATACAGGTGCATTAAGCTTTTGCAACTCCTACTCTCAATTCCAAAGCACAACCAGACAGCACACTACAGGCTAAGCACACTATGGGCTAAGCTCGTAAAACAGAGGATAGCATAAGCACCCTCAACAGAAGGCCAGTAAGAAGCCTGTAGACACATTTGAATCAGCTTGGGTCAAGCTGACACGAAGGGTGAAGCCCTAGCTTCACAGTCAGCAGTAAGCTGTTTGTTCCTTTTAGTAGTATTTTATGGTTGAGAGCTCTCAAAACATCCTCAGGAAGGGCTCTTAGCATAAAGCAAACAAATTCAGGGTTAGTGGTCAAGAAAATTTTGAAATCTCTATTAGGCTGATGGTTTTACATTTTACATTTACAAGTTTTACATTTAGGAGTTGAGTCTGCCCTGTTCCCATTCCCACTTTGCTAGACCATTGTCTAAAACAAGTCAGACTTACATCCAGTGCCTAACAAGGAAGACAAACTATAAAAAGATTAAGTGTTCCACATTAGTTTTAAAAGAAAGGGGAGGTACCACTGCAGCCTTAGCAGCTGAAGGAAGTAGCGTTGATTGGGAGCTGAAGAGTGATTCTCCATTAATAACATCATCTTCAAACAACAACGATACCTTCTGTGGTTTTCTTTGGCTGCAATGAGAGAGGAGAAGGTGGAAGATTCAGTGCAAAAGCTTCAGAGGCCATGCGCTGCATCTGTTTAAAAGTATCACTTAGGACCACCATTTGCAGCAAATGATCCCAGACACAGGACTCAGCTTCCTCACTGTCTCAACAGTTCTATGACCCTCCCTTCTTGTTCTGCAGAAGTGAAGATAAAAAGAGGTCAAGAGGATTTTATATTGCAGGCATGGAAATAGCCCAGTTCAGTGGTGGCAAGGAGAATGATCCACCACAGATACAAAAGTGGTAAAAAAGCGCAGCCCTGCCCCCTCCCACTCACACACCTCTACCTCCTCCTCAGCAGCAGTAGCAAGGGACAACACTTGCAATATGCTTGGGTGTGTCCGGTTTTGAGGGCGCTGCTGGGCTGTTCTGAAAAAATGCACTGCCCCGCCTCCGGCAACTGTCACCTCTCTTTAGTGATTGCAAATAAATCCTCCTCATCTTCTTCCTCAAAGAGGCTCGTCTTCTTCACAGCTTTAGCCTGACTGACAGCGCTAGCTGGTTTTGCAAGGTCCTCTTTTCGGTCATCTTCAGAAGGAAGTTTAGCTGGCTTGGAGACATTCCAGTGTTCCTTAAAAATAAGGAACCCTTAAGTTTTCTTTTGTCTTGGTCAAAGCCACTTTCCCATCTTCTGCATAAGCAGAAACACTCAGCTTGGAAGTCTTTGCATCTCTCTACTAGTTTATTTTCCTGCCTTTGTGTTAGCCACTGTAATATGACATTGCTCAGGCTTTGCTGAGGGCCTGGCCACCTTTTGGCATATGGTATTTGCCCAGCAAAACAGGGTACACACACTTTACTATTACAGTTGCTCTTGAACAACTGAGGTCAGTGTCAACTGCAGTCACAGGAGTAAGGTCACCCCGTAGAACCCGATTTGAGCTACTTATATAATTAGCAAGTTTGATGTACAGGGAAAAAACAAAACAAAACAAAATCCTGAGAAAAAACACAACACCCATACCCAAGACACCTCATTACTAGAGTGCATGATGCTGCACTTCTTTCTTCTTATTATTTCCTCAACTTTCAACTACAGTACTTTCTGCCCCCCCTCCCCTGGAGCTAGCATTTAATCAAGCCTACCTACTGAACAAGTCAAAAATCTACATTAGAAGGAAACATTTCTGGGGCTGGGAGAGTTTTCTGGCTTGTGTGTTTTCTCATTCCCAGCATTTCAAGTTGTTTGCCCCGTTCCCCACCTCTGTGCCCCTTCTGAAAGGGACTACAGGCATGTAGAAGCATGAACTTTGTTTATTCTACATTAAGATAAAAATGCATCTAAAGATATTACTAGTATTCACTAAACAAGCAATTACAGGACAGGTAATAAACATCAAGTCTACCTAAAAGAGTAATTTTGGAGGGTGGGAGGGCTAAGAAGAGTCTGGATCCTATTCATGTGAGTTAATTCAGAGACTTTCCAGACAAGTTTAATTTACTTAGTGTCTCTGCCTTTCATTTAAAATGCAGGACAACACCTAATCCATGCCTAGAAGAGGGCTGCTCTCTGGGAAGCCTAGTTATTTATGTCTCATTTTTCCCATCCGTAGATTTTAAAAAAACAAAATAAAAACAAACAAAAAAACCCCACCAAAAACCAAGCAAACAAAAAAAACCCCAAACACCACCACACACAAAAAACCCCACCCCAAAACCCCAAAACAAAGAGAAATGCACCACATATCTATCTAGAACTGCTAAACTTTCCTTACAGAAATTAAAGCAGTAAGAGCAAACTTATTTTTCCCTTTCAGTATTTTTAAGTCAGATTTGTTGGCAGAAGCCTCCATTTACTATGGATCTTTCTATAAATTACATGGAAAATACTGATTTTTCTCTTCCACATGACTTCCGTTACCTAGATCCTGAGATAATTTAGGCCAAGAATCAGCCAGCTTCCTCAGCTGCAAACAAGTCACAGGACTGGGGTAGGCATGGCATGTGGACATAGCAGAGTTTGACTGTGGTTCCCGTCTCAACAGTTTTATTATGCTTTGCTCAGCCTAAAGCCCAGTAACTCCTTTCAACCAAATCTTACTCCTCAGTACCTCCTCATCACTGCTGAACAATAAGCTGCAGGCTTTCTTGAGTGGCTCTGATTGTTTTGCTTTCTCTTCTGGGGGTTTTTCCTGTTGCTTCTTGGCAGGTACCACACCAAAGAGATCCTTAAAATAAAAAAAATATATATATTTAAAAAAAATCAAAAGCCAAAGCCACAACGAAAAGCTCACTGAGAAGTCATCAGCGTGCAAGACACTGTTGCCATCCACTTCTCAGATGAGTAGGACAGAGAAATGGTGTTTTATGAACCCTTTTTGAAGACATTTTCAAGCGTGATACAGTATTCTGGTACAGGGAATTCTATGCACACAGTTCTTGATAGACCAGAAACTTGTAAGCACACAGCATGGTTTTGGCCCACAGATTCTCCACCATAAGGCTTGACCAGCAGCCAAAGCGCACCACACAGCAATTCTGTTACACAGCAGCTAACACAATGGGGCACTGTTTTTAATCTACATAATGAAATAGAGAATGAATCCTATTCTGAGAGGACAGGCAATAGGCAAGCTGAACCACTACCACTGGGGAAGAATCAAGACTTTTCACCTGAAGACACTCATGCAGATTATTATACAGGCATCAGAATGTACAAAAGCATATGTTGACTTCACCACCTAACAATTATTTATGCTTTTCTCCACTCAACTTGAACTTCAGTTCCGTAACACAACCTTCATGGCAGGTACCAGAGACCTTACCGCATTACCAAATGTTTCACTATCCTGACAGTTGCTTCTGAACAGCCCCTATTCAGAAAGCTGAGCTGGAAGCAGCCCCCTCTTGAACAGGAAACGTTTATCTTGAGTTTGCAGAAGTCCCTTATCTTACAGCTCTGAGCAGGCCTCCTATTTCCCTCAGGTTAAGACTATGGGGTAAGTTAACTCACTATGAAGGCTGCAGGCCCAGAGTTGAAAGCTCTTTGGAGGGTGTGTGGGAGGGAGAAGAGGGTAAAAGAGATAAAAGCACACACTAATTCAATTTTGTTAAGTTTCTTGCACAAACAGTGCTCTGATCTCAGTTTCTACACTAGCAGCCACAATTCTTAGACAGTGAAAAGCAAGAAAAAAGGAATTCACCAGCCATGACACAAAAGAAGCAAGAAGTCATCCATGTGGCTAGGTACCACGGGCCAGGATAAAACAGCTTGTCAAAGCTCATATCTGTTCTATTGCTCAGTGTTCTCTAGTCCTATCAATCAGAGGGATAACACCCTTCATGTTTAGGTCTAGAGATGATACACACTGACTGCAAAATACTAAAAAGACACCAAGAACTCACAAGAGTCCCTGCTACCATTCTCCATAAAGCAGTTCTGAGCATGTGAACAGCAACACAATACAAGATCGATTTAGTGCTCTAATTTAGTGTTCCATTTACAAGCTTCGTGTTGTAAACTTCTCAATGTTTCCTGCTGCATTTGCAACAGGCTGTGCAGGAAGATTCCCATACACAGGCAGTATGAAGAAGTGGTAATTACCTCTTCATCATCATCAAACAAAGACAGCGGAGCTTTTGTCATGGACTTGCTGGTGGGGAGAGATGTAGCTTTGGACTTCACAGTTTTACTTGATGAAAACAAGTCCTGTGCAAAACAAAGAAATGTCACTCTGCAAAGCAATGCTATATGTTTAAGAACTCTAAATGGGACTTCATTTTTTTAACTTGTAAAAAAAGTGTTTAGTATGCCTGTGAAGTAGGGAAAGATTGTTTTACTTAGATGTACCAATCACCTGCAACACCACAGGGATTTCCCTCAGTTTTGCAGATTAATTGCTAGCTGGAAGCCGAAGACACAAGATTAAATATACGCAGTCTTTCATGATTCTTGCTCTTGATTTGCTGATCTTTCTTCTCTTCAGGCTTTCAATTTATGCCTGTGTACACCACACAAGTTTAACTCTCTGAAGAGAGGGAAAACATTCCCAGAGATTTCACTCTTGGAGCAAGAAGGAACTTTCAGGATGGCTGGTAGTAGATGCATGGATGTCAGAGTTCCCGATCCTACAGATAAATAAGGAGTCCCCAGATATGAGTGGACTGAAGTCAGAATTACTCAGATTTCTGTAGGGATTTATTCAAGAGATACTCACTTCAGAATCCTCCTCATCAGAGAAGAGGCCCCTCTGTTTTCTTGGAGGCATTTCAGGTAAAGGTTTGAAGTCCTCATCTGAAGATGGTTGACTCTTTAGGACAAATAAAAACACTACATCAGCACCCATTTAGATTCAGTAAAGGCAGGCACATCATATGACCCTTTCTAAGAGGCATGCTGCTGGCAGCATCCCACCAGTTGAAAGGACAGAACACAAGCTTGTCACCCATGGGCTGAAGTCCAAAACTCAAGTGCTGAGTGAGTTCCTCACATGCAGCCAGAGCTATGTATGAGTGACTTGCAGGTCTTACCATATGCCTCTCCTCCCACCACCATCCTTCTTAGCAGAAAAATGTATGCAGCAACTCACGCAGCCCTACCTTGTGAGTTAAACAAAAATGTTTCTTTTAACAAGCTGTGTTTTGTAAAGGAAGAGGGCAGATTGTACCAGCCATCATTTCCTGCATTAGCACAGCACAGCCCCAGCCTGCCACCAGCTATATTGCCATTAAACTCAGAATGATTCCAGACCCAAGTACAACTGTCAGCAAGCTTGGAGTATAAAACAGCCCTCACTTCCTGACAGCAGGAGTGGTGCTACTGAAGCAGTTCTCATCCTCTCCTCCAGGAATGCCAAGTGCTATGAGATCAGAGCAATGGCACTGGATGACCTCCCACCACCAGTCCCGCTCCATTGACCATGGATACTCTTGCACTGCACCAGAAATAGAAGCTGGTTTTGGCTCTTGTGCTCAGGTGCTTCTCATAAGGCAACACGGAGAAAATCCTACAGCAATTTGCATTAGACATCCCCAGCACTGTATTGCTTCTCAGTCCAGAGGGGAAAAGAGTCATTGTTGGTCATTATGTTGTTCAAATACTCCTTGGACAGCAAATATGTATAAAATGAGTATATACAACCTCTGCCATAGAACAAAGAGCATTACTACTTTCCTCAAAATGCTGCTCTGAAAATGAAAGTGGACTGGGCATTAGGACGCTCCCCTAACTCTGTACACGTGTCCTCAGGACAGCATTTAGAGCTTTCTACACCTTAAGAGTTTTCAGCTGAAAAACAGTTTTTTAAACACTCCAAGTATTGTATATGCTTAGGTAGAACTCTGACATTCACCTTCCATTGCGACAATACATACAAGCAGTTACCAGTTAAGTTGTTATCAGTGGTTGGTATAAGCGCAGACACAGTCTCTGCAACACAGAACTGTGACACCAAAAGGTTCTTAAGTCAGGCTGGTTTCATTTCAGGCATGAACTTCATAATCATTTTTTATTATTAGAGGCTTCTCATTTTGCTCTCATTTCAATCCTGCCTTAATAAGATTCTTCCCATCACTGCCCACACAAGAAAAACCTCAAATACACCCAAAGTTTGAGAGGCAAAAGGCATTTAAGGACCCCTGAAGCACTCGGGTCATGGAAGACCCCATGAACCTAGCGCTGTTTCACAAATATGGCACTTCCATAGTGTTGTACACGGAAAGACTACTTCAGCTGCAGTAGTAACTTCTTCCTAAAACCTTAGCCATACGATCCATTTATATGCCATTACCTTTTTTTCCATGACTGTCTCCCTATGACTTTCTGTTTCTTTAGCTGTGCCAGCAACCACAGCAGGAATGGCAGGTTTTTCCTTGAATAAGTCACCTTCTTCATCATCATCAAATAAGTCAGCTGTGGACTTGACTGTGTTAAGAGACAAAACAAACAGGGAATGACGAGAACAGAACAGCCACTACTGAACAAGATAAGATACCAGAGTCTCAAAAGATACCATGCTCCCTTTTTAAAGATTACAAACATCAGGAGTCTTTAAGAGAAAAAGATAGACAAGCTCTCAAAAGTGAAACACCACTCCACTTATCTCAGAGCACTGGTGACAGAGAGTGCAGTCAACAAGCATTGGGGTAGAGTCAGTTGGCACCTCTAAAGGCAGTGTTTTGTATTGGCTTGGCATCTCTAAAGGCCTAGACCCTGCCAATATGGCATGTTGGGCACAGGGACTCAGAGCTGTGTGAATAAAGTCTGCACCATCTCCCTGATTCAAGTCTAGATACTGCCCTAGCTGTAGGAGCATCCTAAGAGAGGAAAGTCAGTGGAGAGCATGTACAAATAAACCAGTCCCACACCACTCTGAGGAAAAGAAATGCCAATAACAGACTCTCCCCGCCACAAAAAAAAAACAAATCAAAAAAACCCAAGCTGAAGTAGCAATGATGCAAGTTTGAATTTTGTAACTCATTGGTTCTCATCAGTTTGAATTCTGATGACCTTTAACGTTTAATCTTCCACTGTGCATGTACAGACATACCTGAATCTGGAGGCTTTTTGGTTGCTCCCATAAAGAAGTCATCATCATCATCATCAAACAGAACAACTTTCCCAGGCTGTTTAGGAGTTTTCTCTATGCTCTGTGCTGCAGATTTCTTGTCTTTTTCCACAATTACAGTGGAAGTAAATACATCATTTCCTCCTGCAGGTCAGATGGGGAAAAAAAAAAAACCAACAACAACAAAATCCAAAGCCACACAGAGATCATTGCCAGAGTTTCCAAAAAGCTGAACTTGTGCTACAGTAAGTGAAGCCAGGCAGCTTCCGTCACAGCAACTTTTAATGCACTCCTGCAACAATGCCACATCAAAAGCATTAGCTAGAAACTTCCTGATAAAGCCAAGTCACAGACAGATGGCCTCTCACTCTCACTGCAATCACTTCTTCCTCAAACCTGCTCATCTCCTCTAGGAGCAGACCCAGGAGTCCCACACTGTTGCCCCTATGGACTTCCCAAACCAGAGTCCTACTTCACTAATCAGTAAGCCACACCACTGTGGACAAATAAAAGTGGTAAGATGCTTGAGGAGAGGGAAGAACCGGAGACAGTTCTCCCAAGGAGCTGCACTTGTCATGCAAGACCTCAAGCAGTACTGCAGTATGAGGCTGAGTTTGGTCCCGAGGTTCCTGTGTACTTCAGATATGGCAGGGATCAACTAGAGTAATCTGGTAACAACTGTTTCTTCTACATCTGGTGTGGAAAAATCCTGCTTCAGTGATATGTGCATGTTGATAGATTGCCTGCAAACACTTTTAGCATTTTTGGTAAAAACCGGCAGCCTGGCTCTATGCTTGTCTTTTTGCTACTTATGTACAGATGCTTGAAAAAAGGGCTGGGGGTGGGGGGGAGGGTGGTGAGGAAAGAGGGAGACTTTAATTGAAAGTTTGACAGAAAGTAGAACAACTGCTATTTGGTTAAAAGTCAGCAGACTGCATGAATTTTGACCAGCACAGCAGCAGTTTATTATAAAAAAAAGTATATCACGCAATTAGAAAGTGCCACAGAATTGACAGGAATACAGCAACAAAGTTTGATTAATTATTAAACATTCTCAAGTTCCTAAACAAACTGTTCACTGGGAACGTGTTCATCAAGCGACTTTGAATAGCAAAGGAGCCTCAATCTTGGTTTTTCTCTGGTGACTTTAGCCTGTCTACAAGTTACTGAGAGGGAGGAACTGAAGACTTTGAATAAATGCTACATATAACTTAATTCCTGATGAACCAGAACAGGACACTGTTAGAACAATGGGAAATGCACTGCTTATGCAACAGTACCTCCAAGAAAGAGCAAAGGATAAAGAAAACCTCAATCTGCTGTCTTAAACTTTGCTACCACATCCTATAATTATGTCAAATGACCATTGCTAATGCATATCTTTGATCCTGGAGTAAAAAGGCTGTATTTGTATACATCCTACTCTAAAAATTATCCTGACTGAGGGCTCAGCTAACTGAAGCCATAGTCTTAAAATAGGCCTTTCTTAATAAAGGGCAAAAGTTAAAAGTAAGGTAACTCAATTAGGTGATGACCCTACACAGAGACAGAAATCAAAGTCAGTTGATTCAAAGAGACTGGTGAAACATTTCTTTTCATTGCTCAGCGTTAAGTCCGATATGGAACAGGGATCTTAGTACAATACTTTTTTTTTCTTTTTTTTTAGCTCTGAGTTATAGATCTGATCCTTCCGCATGTATGCAGATCCTCCTAACCAAAACCAGAGAAACAAGATTGGTCTTATTTACCTGTGCCACAAAAATAGAGCAACTTGATGTTTAAACTGTTCTTCTGTTAACCCAGGGGAATATGATCAAATCTGAAAGATCAAAATGCACTTCCTTCTCAGAGTATAGAGGGAAGCTGTGACTGCATGCACTGCAGACGTAAGCTCTATAATATTAAAGTAACACACATCCTTAAAAGTTCATAGCATAACACCGGAAGCTGGCAGCTGCTAACATCTGCCATCAATGATATCTACCTTCAGAGCTCCTACAGAATCTTGATTATCCATAAAGCATGCTGCAGTTTAGGCGTAGCATGGTAGAAGCACCTGTATTTGTCATTAAGCATATGATTGAGCAATGCAGTGCTGCTGTATTTGGATAGTTTTATTCTTTAAAACCTCCCCAGCAGGTTTTAAAGAAAAGAACATTTTGTGCATGAAGCAATTTGCTATTGAATGAATCATACCTGGGAAGAGAGATACTGCACCTGCAGGAACTTTCTTTAATGACTTTGTCGAGGATGCTGAAATCATAGGAAGTACAATACAAATGGATGCACTTGCTTTATGCTGTCAAAGCCTTCAGAACTCTACCATAGAAATAGGAATCTGAGAAGTCTTCTAAGCTCCATTTTTTTTTTCTCAACAGCTCAGAACTCTTTAGACATTCTACTTGAACTTCTGGGGTTTTGCAGATATATATAACAGTCTAGCTATTCTTCCTCCATTAAAACTCCACAAAACAGCTCTACTAAACTGAAGCTTATAAACATGATATACATTTACACATAGCATTATTTACAGGAGTTCACACACTCAAACCCACTTCAATACAATACCCTCAAAACAAAATGGCTTAGTCTCCCAACCCATATCTGAAAATTCATCAAATACAATGCTTCAGTAAAGGCTGCGGCAGTACAGAATGTGTGCTCAGACTCCTTAAGGGTCTAGATATGCAGCTAATGGGAAACTCAGATGTGCATTAATCTGCAATAAGAAATCTTTACTCCACTCAAAACCACAACTGGATCCTGCAAAGTACTCTTCAGCAGCAGGATCCCAGTGCGTGCAGAAAGCTCTGTCAACATCAGTAAGGACATCCTTTTAGCTCCAGGAAAGTAGGTGTGTGTAAGAGATTATAGGGAACAAACATATTTAAAATTCAAGGAAAACACAGCTGTTCTCTATTAAGACTGGGAAGGAGAAGAGACTTGTCAACAATTGCTACTTCAGACTTTCTAGTTTGGAAACAAAACAGTCTAGCGGCTAGTGGTGATAAATCACAGCATAGACAGGACTACAGGAGGCAATACTGGTTCTTACCTTCACTTATTGGGACTCGCTCCTCCCTCTCTTTTGATTCTTCTTTTGGTGCTTCAGCAAAAAGATCACTCTGATTGTAGAAGAAAATGCAAAGGGGTGGAAGTGGTGAATTTGTTTTTTGCAGGAAAAGACAGCTGCTGATTTTCCCACGTTGAATATCCACTTCTAAGCCAAGACAGAGGAGGTAACCACCACTCCCTTCTCAAAAAGATGTCTGCTCATATAGATTTAAACCTAGGTACTTAATCATTAACTTGAGTGCATACATTCAGAAGAATAGCTTTCTGTCTTCTAAAATTTAATTTACACTGATCATCAGTCTGTTTATTGCAGAGAAGGAATGACCTTCTATTTGCTCATCTTCAAGGGCTTACGCTAATTAATCTACAGCTGTTTAGGTCCTGATTACACCCTTCTAAGCTTTCCTATTGAAGCTTATACAGTAAGGTTTGAAGGAAGAATTCAGGTCAGGACAAGCATAAAAATACTGCTGAACTTCACATGATTAAGATGAATGATTTATATTGTTGTTGCTAAGGGGACGTTAAGACACCTGTATGGTGCAGAGATCGACATTATAGCTCAAAAGCATTGCAGGACACTCCCACAAAAGTCCAGATTTCCAGGAAACCTCCAGATCTTACGAGCACTGACCACTTAATTTCTTGAAAGCCTTTCTCTTATGGGAAGTTGGGTATTAGAGGTTGCCTACCTGGAGACTCAAAATGCATGGTCTTTGTATAAAGCTTTGTGGAAAGAAGGCAGCAATACTTAAGATAGGGGAGCACAGGGCTATGCCAGGGATGTCAGTGATTAATTGCACATTTATCAGTTACTATTTGCCTGTTGATCTACTGTGGCTGCCTTCTGGTACAGCAAGGCCTCCTCCATTGCACAAGGTAAAAGACAGTAAGTTACCTTTCCTAGATGATTAACTTTCAGGTAACAGAAAACCAAGAACAAGCATATGCAGGCAGGTAACAATCACAGACAAATCTGCTTGGCTGTCCTGTGTGTACAGGATGAGGAAAGTAGTCCTGGCAATAAGCAACCAAGAGGTTCTAATGATAGCTTCACCTGAATTTGCACCGACACAAAGCTGGCTTGCACTAGTGGATTTTTTTTTTTTTTTTTTTTTTTAAAGTCTGTATTTGAGTGGAAAGCATTGCATAGAACTATCCTCTTCCCTTCACACAATTCCCCTGTTTGGTGCTTGTTCGCTATATTCTGGCACAGTAAGCTTGAGGTCAGCTGTACATGTGGCCTCCTTCCAAATTTCAGTCTAATAGCCTCCTCAGCTCCAAGGAACACCTGACTTTTGTTCTAGTTGCAACGAGGAACATCCCATAAAGGCAACAGTTTGGCTACTATTCTGGACTAACCTTGACTATTACCAATATCAGCTGCAAGATAAAATCAGAGGCAATAATTTACACAGCTGTACTATCAGATTCTTAAGTATCCCTGACATTGAGTTTCTATCCCCTTTCACATGCACAAACAATGCTAAAATAAGGTCAGAAATGCAATTTGTGCCACTCCTTCATTGAGTTAACTCTAGATACATAGCAGAAGAGTAAGCTTAAGGTGAACTTTTCTTGCCAATGCAGGTAACCCAGGAATTGTACAATAACTAGAAGAAAGAACACAGCATAATTGCAATAGGGAACTTTTAACAGCATCATTGTCCAGACATGGTACGTGAAAGATAAAGTGGGAAGGGCATCATGTTCCCTTTCCTCTCTAACTTCTCCCACACCCAGGGAGAAAGAGAGAATGACAAAACTCAGTAATCTCACAGGCATTTTAATGGAAATCTGCTATTTTATAATAAACAAACTGTATAACATTTTGTTTACCTTCACAGATAAAAGTGAGGTGCTGAGTAAGCTCTACTGGAATTAGAACCTGTCTAATGTAATGCTAGAACCACACTTGCATCTCTCATTAGCACCACTGCTCGAGAGGGCTTTGTGCCAAGGGGAACATAAGCACCTCACTCGTGTAGTTCTGTTTCTCCACTGGAAAGCTATACTGTCACACTACACTTGAATATTACCAAGCAACAAAATGCTGTTTTGCCTCCCTGCCCTCCAGAGGTGGGAATTTGTGAGGAGCTTTTTTGTTGTTTTTAAAAGGGGGCACACACTCAATTTCTATCCTCTCATTCTCACCTCTTCATCGTCAAAGAGACCTGTTCCACCACTGAAGAGGCCACCCCTAGAACCAAATGGTGTGAAGTCTTCATCAGTCAGCTTAGGAGGCTTGAAGATGTCATCATCTTCATCTAGAAAGCACAACAGCCAAGAGCTGTGGTGGGACTGACCAAGTTTCAGGAAAGAGAATTAAAGAGACAACCAAAATAAAAACTAGTTTGATCCCATCCCCTCTCTCTTATAAACATGACACATACTGAGAAGCTGCTGTAGAGAGATTGGGTTGTATGTGGTTGCTCCACAGGACCACATTGAAGGAGGAACTCTCACTAAGCCTGTTTCTAGCCTTGTTTTACATGCACATCACAACCTAGATTTGTTTACACACGCACCTTGAAGGATGCTCACTGATATCCTACCCAGTTTCTAGAGTAGATGCCACAATTTCTTAAGCAGTGTCTTACAATCCAACCCACAATTCAAAAACAAGAGAGGAGGCTACCCTACCGTCCGATGGAACTCTAACTTCCTTCTTCTCTTTCAGGGTTTTCCTTGTTTTGGTCTCCGATGACAGGGCTTTAAGAAAAAAATTTCAAGGCAAAAATAAAATAGTCCACCTTTACTTGTAGGCTGTGATCAAGCTATGGTAAAAAGAACCCAAAAAATAATCTAACCAAGCTGACCTATATGTTTTCATGTGAATCAGAACACTGAAGCAACTCTACGAAGTACAGGTTCTAAAATTAGCACTTAAAATTGTAGTAGCATCATTTCGACAGACACTGTGGGTTCAACACAGTTGCCCAAACACAGACTAATGTCACCTGAGATGCCAGAGAGCAACACAGCATTCCAGATGGTACAGATCCCACACAGAGCATGCAGAACCTTTGAGCATCTCAAATGGCTTCAGACCATGGTAGCTTGATTCAGCTACCAAAAGCAAAGCCACAGTTTTATTTCCTCTGGCCCTACAATCACAAGGTTATTTCAATGAATGGAAGATTTCCCAGTAACTGAACAAGGTAAGCTGGTAGGTTTTATACTGATATCCACAGACCCAGCTTGATTGTTTGAACCATGCAAGAACACATACACACACTGTTCTTGCCTGTTCATGCTTTCAAAATTATCAGTCAAAAGCAGGCTCACAAGCAGTTGCCAACCCAGTTTCAGTCAGCTATTTTCAACTCCTGCTTTGCTGCAAGAATGACTACTTGACCGAGGTCTCTCCCTTTGAAAGGGACACAAAAGTAAATGCAGTATTTAGTCTAAAATATCACTGGAAACAGTAGCAAGGAAAAGTTCCTCAAAACTCAGTATATTTAAGCCACAAAGAGGAAAAAACAAACAATGCACACCACATGAAAGCACCAATCTACTCCTTGAGGGGTTTTCCACCGTAGAGCTCATGGAAAGACTACAGTGACCAGTGGTTTCCACATACTTACTTGAAACAGGAGGAAGTACATGTGGTCAAACAGGCAGTTTTGCATGCAGAGGGAGAATCAGATTGGAGAGAAAACCTTTCCAATAACATGTGTGCTTGGGGAGTGACCTGTCTCACCTGAAAGCAATGTGCTTTCCACTATAACACTCATTGAATTCCAATTCAATCCTGTAAGTTATGGCCAAAAAGTTTTTCAGAACACAAGATAGTGTCTTTAATTCCTCTTGTTGGGCTTTCACCTAATACGTATTCATATAACAGATCAGCGTAACTTCACACACTGTTATACAGAATCTCCTGTCCAACTCTCTCACAAATCCCCCACTATCTCACAAGCAGTTATCAAAACTAAAGAGTTAACTTACATGAACGCTCTTCATCCTGTTTGACTGGTACTTCTCCTTTGATTCGGGCTGCCAGCTCATCTGCAAATGATGTTGGCCTCTTCTTTTTCTAAGGAGTAGGGATAAATAACAGCCTATTCCTTATATTACCAATTTGATGCAATTGCAATTATAAATACTGTATTCAATAGCCTCACTTGTGCAATATACTGTCTAGACTTTGACTGAAGTCCTCAGAAGAGGCAATACAGCTTTCTATGAAGAAAGCAATTAGGGATTACGCGTGCATCAAGAGAAAAAAAAAAGCTATTTCTAGTCCCTTATGATCACATAATTTTTAATGTCACTTCATTTTGAGAGCATGACAAGCAAGAAGCATTTACCACACACAAATGCAACAAGGGATTTCTTAATGAACTTTAAAGACAGCTTTGATGCCAGCTTAGGGTGCAGGAGTCCCCTAGTTTAAAGGGCTAAAGCCTGAACAACCATGTTGAAAGACCATTCACAATTTTTACAGGCCATCTCCACAGGATCCCATCCCAGGTAACTGAGGGCTACCATTATAATCCCTCTAAGGACAGATTTTTCATGAGGGAAGTCAAATCTCTCCCTCCAGGAAGGCAACGATTACTTACAGGCCTTGTGCTTTCATCTAAGTCTCCATCTTCATCTTCCTCTTTTTCAGAGTCAAAGAGGTCACAGCCATCGAAATCATCTTCATCACTCATCTGTGCTGTCCTCTAAAAAAACATAATAGCCTGTTGTGTTCCCCTGAAGTTGGCATACGAAACAAGCACAAAACTACATCTGCTTAGATTAAATATTCAAAGCAAACTTACTGAAAGAGGGAAACATTCAGCCAGTTTGGGGTACTTCACAGCTTTTAAGAGGTAAGGAAGGAGTGCCTCTAGCTCCATAAAAGTTGCTGCATTCTCTAGTACACCCCCTGTGCTGCGTCACCGAACGTTTCTGGACCAGAGATGCAACTGTGGACACTAAGGCTCTGCTCACAAGGAGCATAGCGCTACTCTACACAAGCCTGAACTGCTTTGGCTGTGCTGCTTCCCTTAGTTTAGAAACTCCTCTCCACTAATGACCTAGTATTTAGCTTTAACTCAGGAACATTGTGATCAGCCAGTAAAAAATTATATCATCTTGAGCTATTCATAAGGTGGATAGCAGAATGACAGACAATACATGCCCACATCTTGGCTTCAGTCATGTCAATAAGAAAAAGAGGATGAAAAAGATTAAGTGAATTGTGAGCTGGGGGCCGGCACGGACAGGGGCCCAGAAGTGAAATAAATCACGAACAACCCAAAGATTCTTGCTCATCTTATATCACGCATACAAAGTTACCTTATAAAGGTCAATACAGCTTAATGTAATATCTGAGTGCTTTTGTAACATTGTTTTATTAATACATAGATTAAAAAAGGGTTGCTTTTTGAAACATTGTTCTTTTGGTACTAAATCATTTCAGATTGAGGATCCTCACATAAAAGTCTTTTGCAGTGGCACATCTAAACATGGGTAAGATGCCTTCTCCTACTACCACCTACTGCAAACAACTAAAGTCAGACTTGAATTTTTCAATCTAAAAATTTATTTTCCCTTTTCATTCATTATCCAAATGGACATACTTTTCAAACATTTAATACTGTTCACATCTTTGATTTCATGTCATACCCAAACTGCATTGTTTCTTACTTCCTGCATAGTAAGTCTAGAATTTTATTTATAGACCCAATAATCCCACAGAAGCCTAGTTTTCCTGGGGTAGATTCTTTGAACTCTCATGGCTCCAAAGTAATTCCCGAGGAAAACACACATCAGGCAATGCCATCCCACATATACTTTGCATCTAATGATGGCTTGCAAGCATGTCTTTAAGCCCAAGCCAGGTTCAATTTCACAACACAGTACACCATCTGGCCAGGACAACCTTCCCATATAAAGTTATACAAATCAGGCTTAATCAGAGTTTTTAACAGTTAATTGTCTGGAGCTCTTATGTCCTCTTTCTTGCATCCTCACTGTGTCACAAGTGGAAAGTCTTTCAGGTATGTACCAGGGTATATAACCGTACCGTCTTTTGGTCATCTTCACTAGGGTTTCCAAATTCATCATCTGATTCCTGGAACACAAGAGACCCAAAGACAAGTATTACTTTGTCCAGTGTTAAGGGAGAGGGCCCAGAAACTCTGGACTTGCTTAGGTTTGGACATTCAGATGATCTCACCATGACCTGACCAAGGAATTTTTTCCCCACCCGCTGACCATCTTTATGAATGGAGCTCACTAGGAAGTCATTAATTTAGCAAAGACAGCAAGCTCCATCTGACATTGCATTTGAGTAACTTAAAAGGGATTTAACTTTAATTGAGCAAAGACACCAAAATCAAACTCCTCAGGAAAAAGGGAGTGCTTCCATAGCACAGTTACAAAGCAGAGACATCCCAGCCAAGGCAGGCAAAACATACCAGAAATTGATAGCCCAATGCAGCAGATTTATGATGCAAAGCCTGAAGGTACATTACTGACACCTACTTAACCTTTAAACTTGCTCCTGTTAGTCTCCATCCCATCCTTTGTAACTGTAATTTACAACAGATTTGTTCTCCATAAATGCAATTCTTGATAAGAACCCAATTTGCTTCACAAAGTGAAATTAGACTGGAATAAAACACTTCAGTTTGAAGTATTCTACTATAATAGCAGTTAGAGCCAATACCACTTCATTGCTCCTCTGAAAAGCTGCAGAGGAAACTACTGCATAAGAATAATAATGAAAAGCACATTAACCATAACTGACATAGGGAACAGACATTGTGCAATATTATCTTGAGACCCCACATGAAAAAAAGAAGTGGTAGCTAATGGCCTCACACACACCAAGGACTCATGAATGCCCAAGGTAGCTGGTGCTCTGTCACTTGTCACTTACCTCTTCGTCCTTCTCTTCACTGTCAATTACACTTCCACGATCACTATCTACTGATCCTTCTATTTTAAATGAAAACAGAAAATTTAAGATCAGACATGACATCTGTACATAGAGCAATTGGTCACTAGACGTATCAACAGCAACTTTAAAGGCTTTGTGATGAGAATTAAAAATCAGGTGGAAAGGAGAGTGGTTTGGAAGAGCTTTGAAGGCTGCTAAAATTACAGAACTTTGCATTTCTAATACACAGAGCACAGGTGTCATGGTTTAAATCCAGCCAGCAACTGGCACCATGCAGCTGCTCACTCACTCCCCCCCCACCCAGTGGGATGGGGGAGAGAATCAGGGAAAAAAAAAAAAAGTAAAACTCTTGGGTTGAGATAAAGACAGTTTAATAGAACAGAAAGGAAGAAAATAATAATGACAATGATAATAATAATAAAAAAATGACAATAATAAAAGAATTGGAAAATACAAAACAAGTAATGCACAATACAACTGCTCACCACTCAGACCGATGCCCAGTTAGCTCCTGAGCAGTCATCCGCCCACCCCCAGGCCAACTCCCCCCAGTTTATATACTGAGCATGATGTCACATGGTATGAAATATCCCTTTGGGCAATTTGGGTCAGGTGCCCTGGCTGTGTCCCCTCCCAACTTCTTGTGCCCCTCCAGCCTTCTCGCTGACTGGGCATGAGAGGCTGAAAAATCCTTGACTTAGTATAAACACTATTTAGCAACAACTGAAAATATCAGTGTGTTATCAACATTCTTCTCATACTAAATCCAAGACATAACACTATACCAGCTACTATGAAGAAAATTAACTCTATCCCAGCCAAAACCAGGACAAGTTACTGAGAATTTACTGCTTTGCATACCAGAAAAGTAGTTGTTACAGCATGATGCACTTTTTTTTTTCCTCAGCTAATTACAGTGTGCATCTAAACATGCAGGAACACTACGCAGTATAACCCAAGCTGTGAGTTAAAACAGACCAAAGTCTTAGATGAGGAACTAGTTACTCGCATAGGAATAGAAGATCATGCCAGCACATACCTTCACTAGAGATATCTCCAAGGCCAACATCATCTTGTTCCATAAACTGCTGAGAGCCAATCAAGTAAGGTAAAGGCCTGTCAATATAGAGATCCTGGAAAAAGACAACATCAGGTCTTTCTGACATCTAGGAACAGCTCTACATTGCTGATGAAGACAGAAGTCTTACGCCCCTTGTTTTAACTCATGGAAGATACAAGCTTGTTTAAAGTGAGTCCCACCAGACACATGCTTCAAGTCAGCATGCAACTGGGTGGGCCACCTGACATTTACTCCTTTTTAACGCAGTCAAAGAAGGGGGCTACTTTCATTTGTGTGGTCCCAACTTGTTTTCTAGGTGTCATCTAACAGAAGAATATCCTTGCAAAGACTTGCAGGCATCAGTTTTATCCCAAATCCTGCACCTAGGGTTCTTAATTACTGGGAGACTAAAAACCACCTCTTAAGAGACAGTTTGTATCTAAAAAGCATGAAATTTAAAGGTCCCACTCCACCCAGAATTGAGGCTTCCCTTTCCAAGTTCACTGCTGTTAAACTAACTCCCTTTAGGATGCCATACCTTAAGGCTAACCCAATTGCAAGACAAGCAGGCTACACAAAGAATAGCTCAGCAAGGAGCACTTCTCCTTCAGATATAGTCATCAGATGCTCTTTTTAGGTAACGAATATCAATTTTATAGCAATGCAGTGACACTGCTGACAGAAACAAAGAGCAAGTCCAACAAAGCGAAACACAAACCCATGCTCCCAGCAAGAACAAGTCTCTGTACCTTTGGCTCAAGTATCAGTTCCACCCTTTCGTTACTTTCCTCCTCTTCTGAGTCAGAGTTGCCTGCTTTGATGTCTAGCTGTTCAAACGCACTGTCCAGAACTTGCAACCCATAATTCACTGCTGCTTGGATTTTGGGGATCAGATCAGCTTCTTTCTGTTCCCGTGTCTTTTCCTTTAGTAACAGGAAAAACACATTCTCATTGCATTTTACTCAAGACCCAATCTCACTGCAACATGGATGCAAAATTTTAACTTCAAATTAGTACAATGAAAGCTTTTTCATTATATGTAAGAGAAAGACATTCAGAACCTTTTTTTGCTTGATTTAATTCACCTTTATCACTCCCAGAAACAGAGGTGTTCTAAACATCCGCACTAGCTCCCAGCCCATTAAGGGAACATTTATGGTATAATACATCTAGACTGTAAGATACATAAAAAGCTCTCCGAGTTTTTATCTCTAGGAATTGCAGTCAGATTCTGCTTCCCTAATTCACTACCTCTGAATCCAGTAAGAAGGCCCAAGGCTTCAGTTCGCTTGCTGAAAAAAACATGCATAGCCATATGAAAATAAACACATAAGGCTTGTCTACTGGACACAGCACTGAGCTTGGGGAGGCCCTAACAGATTATCATACACTGTAGTAGCCTCCAATGTTACTGTCAACTCTATGTTTGAATGACACACGCCGTCCAAGAGAGAGACTTCAAGGAGAAAGGAAACAGTTTGGTTTGTAAGCTGTAAATGTCCACAAAGTAAGTTTGAAAATGAGAAGGTAGACAAATGCTGCAAACATACTGCCAACACTCAAGACAGCTTAAGTTAACTACCTGCTCTGTTTTGTCTCTGGCGTCAGCTTTGGGAATAGGCTCTTCCACTTCTTCATCATACACCCTCTAAAAAGTCAAGCAAAATTAATTCAAGTAAGAACAACATACTGCTGCAGGGGCTAAACCACAGGCACCACCACCAAAATAAAATACACCGTTAAGGTGTAATTAATTACACATTAATTCATTACACATTTAAAAAAAGAAGCCACGGATGATGCCAAGCATCTTCATAGCCTCCTTCATGCACTGGAGTCATCACCCTGAGGTTACCATCAGGCAGCCTCTCAACCCAACTGACCTAATTCAAGACTGCAAATGTCACTGCAGTAGTAGAAGACAAGTTGACCATTTAACCCTGTTCACAGATTGACTTGAATATGTTAAGAAAAGCACTGTTTTAACCCCCCTAACATAAAGCTATTCCAGAAACCTTCAAAGTCAAATCTAAGTTTACTTATGGGCTGTCTATTTTCCTTTTGTTTTCTGTCATTTAGTAGCTCTCCTTCCTTAGTGTTTACCCTTCTCCTGTACTTACAGAGAAGGTTCACATCCTCCCTCAGCCTTCAGTTTGTTCTGATGATCCCTCCCATCCAACTCTTTTAGCACTCTTTTGTAGGATCAGCTACAAGGAGACACAGGGGAATAAAAAGTCTCCCTTGAACCTGAAAACCTAAATCCAAATCTCTCAAACACAGGTGCAGTTATCCCCTGGGAACAGACAGATCTCTCACATTAACGAAACTGAGAACTAGAAATGAGGACCTATTTCTGTGCACTTAAATTTGGGAACAAACAGCTTCAAGCACCCAGGATTTAAGACGTTTGGTATAAACTGTTCTCACCAGAATCATTATGCTGAACAGCAAAGGTATGCCAGAGAAGACATTGCAGCTCTGAAAAAAACCCCAAACAACTAGCACCACCACCACCACCAAAAAACCCCACAACAGAAATCCAGATTTTCATCGTCTTGTCCTCTGCCAGCATCTTTCCAATAATAGCATCATGACTTCAGATGAGACATGCGTGGCCTGAGTACGATGCTGACCAAAACAAAATAGCCAATAAAACTCACAGTGCTAAAAAACCCTTTACAAATCTGAAAGACTATTAAAGCTCTACATCGTAATTATACACATGCTCCTAGTGATACAATGTTGTAACAGGCTTCCAAGTCCAGCTTTTACCTTTCTAAAATAGCAATATTCATGAAGTGGGAACATTAACCAACAAATATGCTCATCATGACCAAATGCAACAGACAACTGCCTGCAGTCCAACACCTTCAGTACCAACTGCTTTTAGTGTAAAATAGCACCACTGGGCAAGTTTACAGCATCATATAACATTCCTCATATTTAGACAGCCAAGTGCAGACAAATGCTACATTCACACTACCTGTAAAGATATACCAAGACATCCCAGAGATCCCAACTCATTCATAGTCCTAAAAACAAAACCCTGATCTCCATGTCACATATAAGGAAGGAAGAAGGAAGGTACCTCAGAAGAGGCAAAAGGCAATCTGCCAATATTGGCTAGTGCATCAGTCATGAAGGAACTGTGACACCCTTTAACAGAAAGCAATGAAGAGCCGCTTCACCTCTAAATTAACATCAGACTTGCCAAAAAGTCAGATCACTTCTCCACACTACAGCAAGGGACAACACCAATATTTGAAGTACAAGCTTGATGCTGTACAAGAACATACTCACATTCTCTATGAACTGCGTATTGGACAACATAAGAAAGTCATTGAAGACATTATGAAGGCGACAGTCTGTGGCTTTTGTTTCACTAATCAATCCATCTACTTGCTTTTTGATTTCATGAGTCCTGGAAATGGTTTGCTGTGAGAACTCTTGTAGAAAATGCAGAAGCTGTTTACAACAGAGAAAAGCAATAGTCAGCATCCAACTCCTTTTTCTTTTGGCACCTTTTGTGACACAGGCAGAGTTGATCACACACTTCAACTGAGCATCGAATTAAACAGTCTAGACTAGAGCACCCCCACGTACACCCAGGACCACGTCTCACCCTGCTTCTTTCTGCATTTCCTTTCGGGCCAACTCCTCATGCTGGTGTTCTCACCCGGACCGGAGGGTTAAAGCAACGGGAGAGCCCGCCGACCGCCGGACCCTGACCGGGGCTGCCCCCCGGGGGCCGCCACCAGAGCGGCCTTCCCGAGGCAGGCGGGCGGGCAGGCCGACCCCCGGCCGCAGCTCGGGCCAGCGGGCGGCAGCACCGCCCCGACCGACACCTCCCAGGCCCCGGGGCAGGCCGCGGCCGGGATAGCCGCGGCCCGCGCACCCCTCCGGTCCCAGGCTCAGCCTCGGGCCCAGGCCCGGGCCCGGCCGCACCACTCACCCCGGCGTCCGAGGCCAAGGACCAGCTCTGGCTGCCCTTTCGGATCTCCTCCAGCGACCAGGGCCGCTCCCATACCGGCGCCGGCTCCGCCGCGTCCCGCGGGGCCCCGTTCATCTGCGGGAGAAGGACAGTGAGCCGAGAAGCCGGTACCGCAGCCGTACCCGGCCCGGGCGCGCCCGCCCCGGCGCTCACCGTGACCGCA